AGGCCTTCTCACAGGTAAATCCTAGTCAGGTAACTGAGTTTCATCCTGGGAAATCCCTATGAGTTTCTTAGACTCTGTCAACCTCTGCTCTACCTTCTAATGGTGCCATATATGACTCCCTTATATCATTTATTATAGTTGTAATTTTATAAAGTTTTTCTTAACAATCTGATGACTGTATGCCTCCCCCACTAGACTGTGAGCTCTTTGCCTACAGGGACCATGCCTGTGTTTGTGCACCTCTGAAACCTTGCACACCGCCTGGAGCAGGGCAGAGAATCAGTGAAAAGCATTGAGGAATACTGAGAATTAAAGAGGAGAGGAGAACAGGGAGGGGGTAGTACATTCTGCAGACAGTCCCTGCCTACCTCAAGATCCCACACTCAAGGAAGGGCAGAACCCAAGACACAGTGCTTCTGGGGGTCCCAGATGAGCTCAGTGTCCCTGTGTCACCCTCAGCCAGATATTCAGCCAGAGCCTAATGTGTGCTGCCCCTCCATGGAGAGCCAAGTTTGCTGGACTCAGAGTTCCTTCCTATCTGATGTTATGGATAATGCCAGCCCCCATTCTTACAGCCTCGGGCCTGGCCTTGTTTGGAATTCCATGAGCCTTTTCAATATTTAGGGGAACTCCAGAGATAATTATATTGGAAAGAAGGTTTCCAGGAATGCTCAGTACAACCTTTTCTGTGTAGCACTCTCTATTTCACTGTAGCCTCCCAAAGCTTTCCAGAGGTGACACAATTACAGAGTTAAATAAACATGTAGCACTGGGGACTGAGTAGCAGATGAAACAGATATGTGTCGATGTGACTTGCAAAGCAGTGGGATGCTGCTGGCATGGGGGAGCACCTGGCCTCCACGGAGGACAGAAAGCAGGGCACGGGGCACGGGGTGGACAGTGTGAAAAAGTCAGAGAATAAAGATCTAGAGGCTGACCACCAATAGTGAAGTGGGTCTGAGAAATCAAAGGAAGTTGGGGTGTCATTTAATACACTGTCCCCAAAGGTGAATCATATAACAAGGAAGAAACTGTAGGAAATGACTGGGTTTGGTGTCCAAGCTGGCGTCAGTTTTCTCCTTGAGTTTTCCAAGTGATGGGACAGAGGCCCAAGAGGGTTCTTATGTGGGGCTACAGACAGGTAGTCATAGTGGAGAAGCGCACTGTGTCTGAAGCAGAACAGGCCTGGCTGTGCACCGCCCCCCAGGCATCCCTACAATTCATGCTGGGTGAAGGTGCTGTCTCCAGAGGCCTTTGTTGAGATTATTATCATCAAGTTCATCATCATCATCATCATCACCATTGTCATGATCCTACAGCAAATATTTATTGGGTACTTACTTTGACACAGGCTCCATTTACAACCATTGTCTCATTCACTCTCTCAGCAATTCTAGGAAGTAAGTAGTAGTATTATCCCCACTTTTTATTTGAGGAAACTGAGACAGAGAGGTTGAATGACTTGCCTAAGGTCATACAGCAAATGAGTATGTAACAGAGTCCAGACAAGTCTGTCCCCCACTGGAGGCTAATTTTCAGTGACAGCCCCTAATTGGTGCAGCAGGATCTTACCATGTGCACAGTTTATAAAGCCCTTTCACATCCACCCTCTCTCTTGACTCTCACATAGTATTGATAGGCAGGCATTGCTTCATTATGTAGCCCAGTAAGATGAGTCCCAGAGAGCATGAGTGAGTTGACATGCACATATATGGTTGGCAAGAGGCAGAGACAGGTCTTCTGACCCATCCCATCCTCTCATCTGCTAAAAGGGGGCAGGGTGTAGGCACTGGAGGTATGCACAGTGGTGCTAGGCACTGCTGATGGAAAGGAATAGAGTGTTTTCTGAAAGGGAGCAACAGGTGTCTAAAAGCGGAGGAAAGGAAAACAGAGAGCTTTGTCCACATCGGATCACCCAGGATCTGGTGCTGCAATCAGACACCTAACTGCGCAGGTGGTGCTCTCAGGGAGGCACAGAATGGGAGTAGTAAGCTCAAGCAGGTGCAGACCTGAGCCCTGCTGTGAAGCTGTCTTCCTCCGGGCCATGGCTGACCCTGGGAGAAGAGCAGCAGCCACACCGAGCCTTCAGGCATTGATAGCCACGGGGGCAGTGGCATGCCCCCTATTAAACTCTAGAGGCAAAGGGTAATATGTGTTGGAAGTTACCTTCAGGCTGGCTCCAGCCTGCTTTCCTTTTGTAAGTTCCACAAACATCCAGGAGAGGCCTTTCTCTCAGAGGGAATGTATTATACACCCTGTGAGTACACACACACATACACTTGCCCAAGGTCTCCATGAGTTTGTGGCCCAGCTGTGAGGAGAGCCAGGTCTTGGATGTTCACTGGAGGCACGGCCTCCCCAGCAGGTGGCCTGAGAGGGAAGGGCTTGGGTGAGCTGTCCCTGTGCCCATAGGCCCTCACTGCCCACACCAGCGTCATTAGCATTTCACACTTCTAGCCCCTTTCTGTTGTTAGTTTGGCTTCATGGCACATTATCTTCTCATAGAGACTCCACATCTTTTTAACTAAAGTAAAATAAGAGGAATGCACAGCCTTTGGAATAGCCTGATCCCATGAGGCTGTTGCTGACACCCTGGGGTGCACTAAAGCAAGGTAGATGATTACTGTTCTATACCCAGTCAATTAAACATAAAATAACAGCTACAAAACCTCCATGGTTTCTCTTAGCTTGTCACCTCATCCCTGCCTCCCCTGCCCCCAGCTTACCATTGACTAGCGACAAAGGAGAGAGTGTCCACTGGGCAGTGGCCCAGCAGTGTGTGCATGAGGCAGCTTTCCTGTTAGCTCAGTTTGGGGAGGCGTCTGTGAGCACAGAAGTGCCCTGTCCATGCCTGGGGCAAACTCTCCCTGGGTGCCAGTCACTCTGCATGAACCCAGCAAAGGTCCTTCTGGGCTGTTGCTCATTTCCAGCTTTTTCTCCTTATGGAATTGTTTTCCCATAATATCAATGCTGGCCAACTTTTATAAATTTGTGAACATATTTCCAAACTTCAATTGAAAGTTTGCCTTTATGGAGGAAAGCTGAGTATAGGAAAAGAAACTTGAAGATAGAGTTGTTGATTTGGGTTAATTGATTTGACATATATATTTTTAAATAATCAGAGAAAGGACTGGATGCCATGTTTACCTCTTATCCATCTTATCAGTTTTGGCTTTTCTCACATTTTCTTCAATTCCTTCATTCCAACCAATTTTCTTTTTGTCTCTTCTTCCTCCCAAGGTTTGGGCCGCTGATTTGGCATCTACCGCACATGGGACTGGCACTGCCCCTGCTGGGCTTCTGTGCTTGACTGAACTCAATTCAAGGCCACTGTCATTAAGGGGCTGAGGTTCTAAAAGGCCTAAGCAACCCTCTAAAGAATCCCCAAGTGAAGATGCTAACAGTCTTCTAATCAAACCTCACCCCCTGACCCAAGGGTTGGTTCACTTGATAGTAGTAATCAATGCTGTCTTGAAGAAATACAGAGTGGACACAATGAATTATCCTCATTTTAAATTTTTTATTAAAAATCTCTTACATCTACACTCTAGTTTCTTTTCAGTCTGACCTCATTTTATAAGCTCTGAGCTTGTTAACCTATGTTAAATCACCTGAATTAACCTATGTTAATTCACCAGGTGGAACACGAATTGGGAGTGGAGGATTGGGAGAGATATAGAGGAAAATGACATTTGCCAATTAATTTATTCTTCTGATACATCATAAATTCCCTTATGTGTAAAATGAGGGCCAGCATGTCTATCTCCCCACTTTCTTTTAGTGATTTGGGAAGAATTGTGTGTAAGTACAGTCTACAATGCATGCCAAGGTTTTAAAGCATGGTTCCCAAATAGTGCATCAGAATCATGGGGCAACTTGTTACAGATACAGATTCCTGGGTGCTACCAACAGAGTTTGCAGGGTCTGGGGTGAGACTCAGGCATTCACATTTTAATTAAGCCCTTCAGGTGACTGGATGCCAGTGGTCACAGACTACATTTGAGAATCACTGAGAATTGCTGAGAAGGATCTTAGCACTCTCTTAAGCCTGCATCCTTGGGTTAGGAACAAGGTTACAAAAGCTTAGAGAAGTGAAGTGACTAGACTAAGTTCGTTCGTTAGTTAGTTTTAGTTAGTTAGTGCCGAGCATGGACTAGAACTGAACATCAGCTCTGGGCTTTTCCACCACTCTATAGGGGAGCAGACCAATAGGAAGAGGGTTTGCTTTGCAGTAGGATGGAGTTAAATTAGATACAAGAAGGAACTTCCTGACAGAGGGGAGTTTTGAGGAAGCCTATATCATCTCCTTTCTCAGAGGGCCTTAACTCAGGACACACTCATCTGATGTGGGCACTTAAGGTGTAACGTGGAAGCAAAGAAAGAAAGGAAGCATCTTGAGAACAAATTCTGCTGATTGTGTATGAAAGGGACCAGAGACCTTTATTTTAGTTCTGTTGTGGCAGCTGAATTTTAACCTCAACAACAACGTAAGTGGTCAATGGTCCAGAAGGCCTGAGGTTCAGTCCCAGCTCTGACAAGGACAAGCTTTGTGACATTGGGCCACCTGCTCGGTTTCTCGGTCTCCATTTCCTCAACATGAAATGAATGGGTTGCTTTAAATCGTTTTCAATTTCTGTGGTTTCATTGACTGAACAACTTAATAAGTTGACTAAAAAATGACTCAATGTTGAGATTCCAAGGAACCTATTTACCATTTTTCCCATTTGAAACCTCTACTCTAGGGCATTTAAGTCTATCTCTGAGCAGTCTGTTGTGGTCCTTCCTGCTTTTTATTCTTATTTAGTATTGAGAGAGGTCTAACCTCAAATGATCATTAGTGATCATTCAGACCTCAGATGTGCTGTAACTCCTTAGAGTCACTCCCACTGCAGATAAGCGAGGCCAGAGCACCATCTCCCAGTAGTGATGGCCTCTGTTATGGTCCAGTGCCCCCAAGTCACCTGATCACCCCACTGATTGGCTCTCTCTATCCCTTCCAGAAAGCAGATCTGGCCGTGGCTGGCCTCACTATTACTGCTGAACGGGAGAAGGTGATTGATTTCTCCAAGCCATTCATGACTCTGGGAATTAGCATTCTTTACCGAGTTCATATGGTAAGCATTTCTGTCATTAATCTTATTTGCATGCAAACACAAAGTTATATAGTAATTAAGAATGACTTGTGGAAATATTTAGATTTCAAGACTTAAATGCAAATGTGCTGGGCTATTATATTCCCCCATTAGCTTCACAGACTTGCAAACAAAAAAATGGAAAAGTCACACTTGTGGGCTTTCCTGTGAAAATTGCTTCTGCTTCACTGAGTAGGTGTGGTCAGGAGTGACTGTCCAACCCTTAGGGTAGTATTGTGTAGTAGGTGATCAGCTCTGTTGGTCACTCTGCTTCCTCTTAGGGAACAGGGCTCGCAACACAGGTAGGTCATCCAGCATTCTCCAAGACTTCAAGGGCTCAATTCCACTCTGTTCACTCTGAGCTTCCTGTCTGGTGAGGGAATACAGACTCCTTCCACTCGGATTATCTGTACTAGTGAGTAAAGAGCAGATAATTTAATGTCACTTATTCCTGACATGTGTCCTCTTCTGCATACTTTTTAAAAAATTGATTTTAGAGAGAGGGGAAGGGAGAAGAGAGAGAGAAAAAAAAAACATCAATACCAGAGAGAAACATCCATTGGTTGCCTCCTGCACACACCCTGACTGAGGCTCAAACCCGCAACCTGGGAATGTGCCCTGACCAGGAATCGAACTGGCGACCTTTTGCTGCATGGGGTGACACTCAGCCAACTGAGCCCCACTGACCAAGGCTATGCATACTTTAAAACAAAAGAAGGATGCCTCTGGTTAGGTTGGCTAAAGTGAGTAGAGTTAGCGTCAAAATGAGTTTGTGAAAGCACAGCAATGGGCAGCAGAGGATGGGCATGACATCAAAGTGTACCCGCTGGTGGGGTTGGGCCATGGAAGAGGAGCTATGGCTGTGCCTCAGACACAAAGTGGACAATCATTACATTGCTGGCACAGAGTAGTTTACCTAGTTTTTCTCCTGAACCATAAGAACCTTCCATTCAGCTTTTTATCAAACTAGATCTAAGCACACAGGTATTAATAGATTTCCCAACACTGTAGTCACTGTACATGTCCAAGGTCAGGTGGCAGATTCCAATATAAAAGCTTATCCCACATGTCTGCTGAAGAAGTAGCCCTCCAGCTTCTGATCCTCCCCAGGCCTCAAATTCCAATTCTAGAAAAAGGAGATTCTCTGTATTCACAGCCCAGCTGAGCTCACATAGTTGAGGGCGGCCAGGGCTCCAGAAACTGTGGCCTATTTCTCCAGGAAGGGGTCTCCTTGTCCCAGCCACTAGGCGGCTCAGGGAGCACTATGTGGACTAGGCCTTTGTGTCTCAAGATCACTGCTGGCTTGGGAAAGGCCAGATCCTCTGGAAGAAGAGAACATCAAAACCCCAAGCATTCCAGGCTAAGACAGAAGTGTGAGGACTGGTTGGAGCCCACTGTTGACGATGTTGTTGGTGTGTCTGTCCAGTGGATTAAGGAGGATTTCCTTTCTCCTCTTTCCACAATGGCTGTAGCTTCCATTCATGGGGTGCCTCCTCCATGCCAGACACTTTCAAGCTTCTGTGATGTTGGCTGTTGTTATGGGTTGAATTGGGTCTCCTCAAAAGTTATGTTCAAGTTCTAACTTCCAAGACCTGTGAGCATTATCTCATTTGGAAATAGGGTCTTTGCAGATATAAGCAAGATAAAATGAGGTCATGTTGGATTAGGGTAGGTCCTAAACCCAACAACTGGTATCTTTATAAAAAGAGGGAAATTTGGACACAGACACACAAGGGAGAAGATATGTGAATTGGGAGACAGAGATTGGAGTGATGCATCTATAAGTCAAGAAATGCAGGGATTGTCAGCAAACACCATGAGCTAGAACAGACAAGGGAGGATTCTCCCCTAAAGACTTCAGAGACAGCATGGCCCTACTAACATCTTGATTTTGGGCTTCTATCTCAGAACTATGAGACGATACGTTTCTGTTATTTTACGCCACTCGATTTGTGGTATTTTGCTGTAGCAGCCCTGGGAAACTAATATAGCTGTTCCTGCATTAGAAACGAGGAAGCAGGTGCAATCAGTTTTAAAAACTGGAACAAGACTACTTACCCAGGAGTGAAAGGGTTCCAGCCCAGGAGCGGTGTGATTCGAGCCTACGTCCTCCGTACGACACCAGGCCTCCATCCTCATTGGTGGGATTTTTCAGTAATTGTTCTGTGTGCTCTTTCTCATTTGGTCCTCCGGACTGTTTTCTGAGGGAAGAGCAAGGATTATAATTCCCATCTTAGACATAAGGAATCAGAGTCACACATGGAGCTAATACAGGGCTAGGCCTGGGATGCAGGTTTCCTAACTCTGAGAACAGTGATCTTGTCATAGTTAGACCTGGCAGTGCTCCTAGGCAGTTTTCTAGCTAGCACTGTTTCTCGAGCCCACCTAACCCATTCCAGCAACTGGGCCCTGAGGAAGCACCCAAAAACAAATGGAAACACATAGCCTTTGTGCCCAGACCACACAACTAAGCTCTGGTCTGATTTCTTGATTAGCACCAAGGGAACTAAAGCTCTGCTCATGATCCAATGGACCATGAGGAACCATGTGGGTGAAGGTACCTGATGCCATGTATTTCCATCTCCTGGGGACATCTGCTGCTAGGCCACCCTCACCCCCTAAGACACCACTGCATCAATTCTGACCAGAACTAAACTTTAATTGACCAACCCTCTGGACCTTCTCTATTGTATTGACCAAATGTTTTCTACCACCTGCAAACCTACCACTATATTAGTCCCTACATTAATTCCTGGGATGTGAAGTGTTGTGTTAGCATGGAGAGGCAGTGGTGCCCAGATATTTGGTCAACTACTAATCTAGATGCTGCTGTGAAGATACTTTGTAGATGTGATTAACATTTATGATCAGTTGACTTTAAGTAAAGGAGATTACCTTGATAACATGGATGGGCCTCATCCAATCAGTTGAAGGCTTTCAGAGCAAAAGCAGGTTTCCTGAAGGAGAAGCCAATTCTACCTCAAGAGCATCACATAGAAACCTGCCTGGCTTTCCAGCCTTCTAACCTGCCATACAGAGTTTGGATTTACCAGCAACCACAATTACATGAGCCAATTCCTTAAAATAAATCTCTTCACACACACACACACACACACACACACACACACCCCTACTGGTGCTTTCTTTCTGGGGAATCCTAACGGATACAGTTTCCTTATCTGGTGAGGACTCCTCGCCTCTTCTAGCCTCCACACAGAGGCATGCGTGTGCCACACAGTAACTCAGGTCTGATTTATAACAGGGGCCAAGATGAGTAAAAATTGAGTGCTGGCATGAACACCTTACACTAAGCAGAACTGACAGTTTATGCATTTACTCAACAAATATTTATTGAGTGCATTTTTCTGCATATGAGGCAGTGTGCTTAGGAAATTCCCAGAAGGCAACTGGGGAGAGAACAATTCTGAACTAACTAGACCAGGGCAGCCGGTGAGAACAAGTTTGAGATGAACTCTGTTGCATCTAAAACCAGAGGCATTAGCAGAAAGAGCTAACAGTCTGGCGGGCAGCCTGGCAGAGTCCACCATAAGAGCCTAAATATAAACTTACAGAGAGGAGCTCTCTCTAATACAATAGTGTTAAGTTAATGAAATTAAAAGTTGAATATTGGGTATTCATTATTTTGTGAATTTTCTCTAGCCGATAGTTATCTGTGAACAAAAACATACTTAATTTTATTTATAATCTTTAAGGACCCAGAATCACTATCTTAATTCTGATAACTTATCTCATGAGTGATTCTCACCAAAAAGTAATCAAACCTATGGGCAAAAATAAAAATAATCACCCCAAGTGTAAATGTCTAGTGAAAGTTTACTACAAAACCCTCTAAAATAATAAGTGGTGACAGGTATGTCTCTGAAGTTTACAGATAACCAGAAATCATTCATGAATTTCTAGCAATCCAAGACTTTTTAGGCTTTTTCATGAACATGGATCATCCAGAGTTTATTATGGAATATTTTCCTTTTTCCCAGCCTTGGGGTATAAACTGTTTCTGCTCAGGCAGAAATCAGGACCAAAATCAGAAGACTGCTTTTCTCTTTTTACCACTTACTCCCTGCCACTCAGAGCTGGCTAAGGATTCTGGTTTTGGAGTGTGTTACTGCTGATCCCTCCACTTTTTAAAACTTTCTCCGTTCCTAGTGTTCAAATCATCATTTTCTTCTGCCATTCCTCTTGCTTCTCTGATAATTGCTTTCTCCATCATTTATGTTGACCCCTCTCCTCCCTCCCCCCCCCCTTTCTCTCTCTCAG